GACTTAAAACGGGACCCTAATTTAGAAAACTACCCATAGAGGGTTCCTTTAAAGGCTTTCTGTAAGGGGTCTAAAGGATTATGAAGGGTTCTATACGGATTTAATTAGGGTTCAGGCATCTTCGGACCCTGCAAGAAGTCTCGGACATTCTCAGGTGGGTTGTTACCGCTATAGGAGCCTTGAAGAAGGTTTGTATACCTTATAGAAGCCTTATAGATGCCTTATATACCCTAAACTCCCCACCTGTAGTTTCCTTTAAAGAAGGGTGGGTTTCTAGCAGATTCCGATGGGTTTAGGTAGATCAGAGATTTCGGGCTGCAGTCGCGTCCCCGCACATGGGATCGGACCAGTGCTTCCGCCCAATTGCTGAGCGCTGTGCTACGGTTAGGGGTTTGGGTTTGGGGTTTAGGGTTTGGGGTTTAGGGTTTAGGGTTTGGGGTTTGGGGTTTAGGTTTGGGGTTTGGGGTTTGGGGTTTAGGGTTTAGGAGTGAGTGTCCATTGTAGGGTCATGCGAATTACCCTCGTAGAGACTCCAAATCCTTGCGCTTCCGCTTCACGAGCTGCTCCAGTTGTTCTCTGGGCTTTACTGCAACTTCAGACCTCTCGTTGTCTCTGTGTAGGCCCTAAACCCTAAACCCTAACCTACAACACTCTGAACCTTGCAAATATTGCTGCCCTGAAGCCCTAATGCCTGAACCCCGGCGCTGGGCCCACGCTATCAAACTAGAAGAGCTCGAAGACCGCCCTGAAACTCTCAAGCTAAACAATTGCCACAGTGGCCGCAATGCTTAGCAAGAGCATGTATTGAAGTGATTTGACCCCCAATAAGCAGTGCGTAAAGTTTTGTTGGCTTCATGTATTTCAAGGACTTGGGTGCATGTGACCACCGTGTTATGCTGAGAGCTTGACTTGATGCCGAAGCCGCCCTCCGTTTTCCACCCCAAACCTTCCCAGCTGTATCGCTGTCTATCCGGATTTAAGCATGGCTCTTGACAGCGCCCGGCAGGGTGGAGCAACACTTGCTGTCAGCCCATGCGCCCTCCGCCCTTCCGTTTCCCGCCGCCCCCCGCCCCCCTTCCCCCCCCCCTCGCCGCCCCTTTCTTCTTCTTCTTCCTCCCAAAACCCATACCCACCCACCGTGCGACAGCCTCAGAATCAGTCTGAGCAGTATGCTCGCAATCGCGGCCACGATGCCAAACATCCTTCATGCTTTTGAACTTCGGCGTTCTGCTCGCGGTGCAACTCGACACGCCTTAGATCCGCAATCGGGCACAATTGATGCGCGTCATGGGGCGATGCCAGCTGCTGCTAGCCTTGATAAGAGGGCCCA